CCAAGGACATCCTAATAGCAGAGTTTGTCGTCATCCCTCAAGTCTTACCACATGTCCATCGAAGCATTCTCATTTCTGCGGCCTCAATCCTCCTTACGTGATCCTTCTTGGTTGCCCAACATTCTGATCCATACAACAGCGCTGGTCTTATTGCCATTCTATAAAATTTTCCCTTAAGTTTTAGAGGGACCTTCTTGTCACACAGAACTCCAGTAGCGGCCCTCCACTTTAGCCATCCCGCCTTTACGGTGTGTAACGTCATCATCTACACCCCCATCTTTATGTATCATAGACCCTAGGTACTTGAAACAATCCTTTGAGGGGACATGTCCTTCTATGCATACTCTACACTTCATCGTTTTGGTTCCCATTGAAGTTTGAACATAAATACTCTGTCTTTTCAATATTGATCCTTAAACCTTTTCTTCCAAAGCAGTCTTCCAGGTAGCCAGTCTACTATTCAACGCAGATTTTGTTTCAGCAACTAAGACAATGTCGTCAGCGAAAAGCATACACCATGGTACACCGTCTGGTCGCACAATAGATGTCGTCCATGATCAAGGCGAAGATGTAAGGGCTAAGAGCCGACCCCTGGTGGAGTCCGATTTCCACCGGGAATGCCTCGGTGTCGCCAACTGTAGTCCTGACGTAAGTAGTAGATCTACAGTACATATCACGAATCGCCCGGATATAAGCAGTTGGGATCCGAATTAAGACAGCTCTTTTCTTCGATATTAATAAATATTAATATAATTAAATAAAATAAAATTATTATTTTTTATAATATTTAATTTTAAAATACCAGAATAGGACATCCAGTTGTATTAAGACTGCCCTTTTCTTCGATATTGAAATAAATAAAATATTTATGTAAAAAAATATAAATTATATTATTATATATATTTATATAACTACTAATATAATAAAAATAACATTAAATATAAACAAGTAAAATTAAAAACAATAAAATACAATTAGAACTATATATTTAAAAGCAGTAAAATAAAAGAAAATATTTAAAATTAGTGACTAGAAAATAAAATTAAAATTCAATACCTAATTCATAACTATTATTTAAAATTATAAGGATTAAACATGCTATTTTCCTTATTATTAATTTAGTGACTAAAATAAAATTATAAAAATAAAGAGCATAACTTAAAGGACTAACTTTAAGAAATTAAAATTAAAGACAAATTAAAAATATTGAATATAAAAAGGCTAAATTAAAATAAATAAAATATACAAAGTTAAAATTAAGCATTCAGTAAAGGACTAAATTGAAAGAAATAATAAAAGTAGCACCAAATTGTATTAGAAATAAATAACAAAAACATGAATGACCAAAAATAATCAACAAAAATAGCATCCAAAATTAAATATGAAAAATGAAAATAGATTGGAATGTAAACAATAAATCTACATGTCCGAAATTAAATAAAATAAAGTGCAAGAGTAACCAAAATGTAGTTTGGGCTAAGTATGGGGACCTAAGTGAGGTTAGAGTAGTTATAACGCGAAAGGAGACTAAACAAGGAGGACTAACTTGCGAGTTTCCCCAAATTTATATTAAACCCCATTCATTCTGTTTCACTTTCAAACCCACCTAAACAATTCATGGGTCTTCCTCACGCAGCAGCCGCTCCCAACACAGCTCACCAACGTCGACAGCAAACGCTCTCCGACCACCATCACCGGTGATCGGTCTACTTAGACAAACCCCCTATGACCCTCGAACTTTCTCTCCTTCAACTCTAAACTCAAAAATAAGACCTCTAATCCACATGCAAAACCTCATAACCACTAACCCGAATCCATATAGATCTCTATGACACCAACTCCGGCGAAGATATGACTCGCTAAGGTAAACGCATTCTTCTATTTTTTATATTTTTTATTCGAACATTGCTAAAAATAAGCATACAGAAAGTAAAAAAAAAATGCTCACTGTTATATTTGGTATATTGCTTCGAAAAGGAAAAAAAGGAGGAGGATCCCTCTTTTACATATTTGTTCTCTTCGAAAAATGGTGGCCGAGAGAAGAAGAGCCTCCTTTTTACATTGTGATTGGGGTTTTATAACCCTTTACATTATGAAAATAAAATCTAAATTAGTTGTTATTGTTTTCTGATTTGTTGATGAGGATGCTAGGACGTGGACGGTGCTCAGGAGTCCACGGGTGGAGCTGCCAGAAATTACTGGAATGTGGAGGGATAGATGGGTTGCTTGCTGGAAGTTACTGGATGGAGGGGGAACAACTGGTTTGGGAACTGCTGGTGTTTGTTAAAACGTGGAGGGGGCAGCTGTTCTTACTGGAAGCTGCTGAAACGTGGAAAAAGGGCAACCATGGGTTGCTGTCGGCGTGGAGTGGAAGCTGCTAAAATGCTAAGGTAAAAACAAAAATGGTGATTACAAAGCCTAGCTTCAATTTCACTTCTATGGAGGTTAATAGCGTCCTAGATATCAAAAACAAACAACTATATAAAAGAACCATCAACGAAGAGTATATATGCAAAGCATATTTTAAGGTTGATATCATACCTGCTTTTCAGACACTTCCTTGGAAAGCATCTCCTGTAAAGAGGCATTATTGTCCCTAAACTCAGAAATAACTGCATTCAGTTCTTCCTCCTTTTTTTTCTTCTCTAACTCTGCAGAATCAAATTTTAATTAACAAAAATCACAGCGACGACAAATTAACTTTTGGAACAAATGAAGTTACCTGTATCAATGCATTTTTTCTCAGCAGATTCTAAAGAATTCTTAAGCTTCTCATTATCAAGTACGTGATTCTCATCACACTGTTCAAACCATTTGACACAAAGCTTAAGCCTTTTATTATGTTCAGCCGCGTGTTCGTATTTAGCCTACACCAAAAGCACAAATAAATGATAAAATTGGAATTTATAAAAAAAAATTATTACAATAATAGTTTTACCTTGAGATCAAACTTTTTAGCTTTTGGCCTCTCATTCAGTACCGCTTCTACTTCTTCTTTAGTGAATTCATTGCATTCCCGGCATCGGCATTAGCTGTGGTTGTGGCTTCTTGGAGATATTTAACGGCAGAAAAAGCTCGTCGAGTTTGTCCAGTTGCTGTGGGTACCGTTCCTCTCCCTACTGCTCCAATCCTTCTCCGTTTGTCTAAGGTATTTTCATCTCCAAGTCCCCTACTCTGAAATTAATAACTAAAACTAACAGATTGAAAATTTCAAAATCAAATTGACGAGCTATAGAAGGGAAGAAATTCACTTACAGTGGCGGGGCAGCGAGGCGGTTGGCTCTGGTTGCGAGAAGCCATGTTTGTAACTAAAAAGAGAACTCGGTTGAAGCGGTTGCTGAGAGTTGCTTAGTTTTACTTAATGTTGAACGGGCCGTTGATACCAGATAAAATGAAGTAGACGATATGGATTTTGATTTGATTGTCTTGAAGAGTTTGGGTTTGTGGAAACAAATTGGAACGTTAGGGTTTGGAGAACGAAAAGGAGAGAGCGCTGTAAGGCGGGGGAGTGGACTTTTTAATAGATTTGAACTTTGATCTGGCGGTATATCTTACGATAAGGAAATAAAATTGCTAACGTTAACGCCTATTGGAGTTGGACTTTTTGGGTCGGGTAGTTCAGCCCATTGATCTCAATCGTCTCGCCCAGGTGTGGACTGAATGACCGATGTTGTTGACTCAAACATGGAGCCTTTAAAAATAGAGTCCACAACTGCTGACCTCTGTTAGAAGTCGATCGAGCCGAGTCAAAATATTTTGATTTATTCAAGTTGATGAGTTGTGTTTTACAACACGAACTTAACTTAAAAAAAATTCTAGTCCAATTATTCGAGTTTCTATACTAATTTTATTAGAATTATTTGTAGTTTTAAGACAATGATTTGTTCTAGTTTATATATATATATTATTCTTTTCATATTATAATGTTATTTAATATATCAAATACAATCTAAAATTATAAAATATATTCATAATATTATATTTTAAAGAAATTATTTTGAGGGTAAAATATTGATGAGAGTATAAAGGAGTCAATGAATTGATGGAAAGAAAGAATTTGCAAACAATTGTATTCAAAAAACCAAATTGAGTAAAATGCAAAGTTAAGGGATTAAATAAAAAAGAGAGTACAATTTTAGTAAAAAGTAAGAATTGGAGTTACATAGGTATTATATTTTAGTATATGAGCATGTGGTTCAAATTTAGTAAAAGACGAACTTAAAATAAATGATGAATTGAAGACATAAGGAAAATATGAAATATTAAGGGACTAAATTGAAAAAAATTTGTTATAAAAAGAGGAATTGAAAGTACATATGTATTCTACGATGGTTTATGAGTATGTGGTTCAAATTTGATAGAAGCGGACTTAAAATAAAGGATAAATTGAAGAAAAAAGGAAAATATGAAAAATTAAGGAACTAAATTGAAAAGTAAAAAAATTGTTATCAAAAAGAGAAATTGAAAGTACATATGTATTCTAAGATGGTTATGAGCATTTGGTTCAAATTTGGTAAAAAAATGAACTTAAAATGAAAGAGGAATTGAAACCAGGGACTAAATTGTAAAACTATCAAAATACTTATTCAAATTTTCAGTTTTTCGAGTAACTCGAAATTTTAAAAATTTAATTCGACTCGAACACGAAAACTGAATTTATAATTTGGTTTGACTCGAATAACTCGAAATTGAATTATTATTATTTTTCAATTTTACGATTTGAGTACTACTTTGCTCACCTCTAACGTCAGTATCATAATCTTTGCAGAGTGGTCGTGCAAAACACAAGCAAGTGGTTGAGAGTGTTCTTTGAACGGTTACAGTCTTATACTTATTACATGTTAATAAAAAAAAACTGCAAAGGGTTTTTTTTTTTTTTTTTTTGAGTAGTTGGTATGGACAATATCACATGCCCACCTAATATCTAATCTCACTTAAACAAAGACCAACGTGTATATAAACAGAAGCTCATTCCAACGTGGTAAACTGAAGAAAAACAACTGATAGGAGAGTTCAGAGAAGTAGAAACCCAGTAAACAAAACACAAACTAAGACATGGCCAGCCAGATGGTAGGAACAAAGAAAGCTTGTGTCGTGGGTGGCACGGGATTTGTTGCATCCTTGCTGATCAAGTTGTTGCTTGAGAAGGGTTATGCGGTTAACACTACAGTTAGGGATCCTGGTTAGATCTTCTTCATTTGTTTTTTTGTTTTTATTTTCTGATCGATGTCTTGTTTCATTTGGCTTGCTTACGGGTGTAAATGTTGCCCTGTCCCCCTTACAAGGAAGGTTTTTGTACCAATGAACAAAAAAAAAGTTTTAGTACTACGTCACAAGTACATATTACGAGATTATAACAACCTAAGTCCCTTGTTTTTTATCACTTCAATTTGGTGGATCCAAGCTTCCAACCAAAGGAAGCAAAACATATAAATGGGGTTAATCTTAATCTAATGCAGACAACCAGAAGAAGATCCCTCACCTTGTAACGTTGCAAAAGTTGGGAGACTTGAAAATTTTTCAGGCAGATTTAATTGATGAAAGGAGCTTTGATTACCCCTTTGCCGGTTGTAAACTTGTCTTCCAAGTTGCAACACCAGTTAATTTTGCTTCTCAAGATCCAGAGGTATAACATTAACACGATTAAACTGCTTTTTCATTGATGATCCAATTTCAAGGTTGCTTTATGTTTTTTTTAAAGAATGACATGATAAAACCGGCAATCCAAGGAGTGCTGAACGTTTTGAAAGCTTGTGCCAAAGCAAAAACCATTAAACGTGTCGTCTTGACATCATCACCTGCGGCTGTGTCAATCAACACATTAAACAGGACGGATCTGGTCATGACCGAGAGAGACTGGACCGATACCGAGTTCTTATCATCTGCAAAGCCACCAACTTGGGTAAAAATTTAATGCTACTTACACAATTATCTTCATGAACAAGCAAAAGATGGTTGTTATAAAATGTATCCATATTGCAGGGGTACCCTGCATCCAAGACGTTGGCTGAAAAGACAGCTTGGAGATATGCTGAAGAAAACAACATCGATCTCGTTACAGTTATCCCTTCTCTCATGACTGGTCCTTCTCTTACCCCAGATGTGCCCAGCAGCATCGAACTTGCAACAGCTTTGATTTCAGGCATTAAATCAGAACCTAATGCTATGGCTTTGTAAAACTGCTTAAACAAAGAAGTGAATCGGAGCATCATAAACTATATCTGATGGAATTTCAAATTTTTCAGGCAATGACTTCCTCGTAAATGCTTTGAAAGCTATGCAGATGTTGTCAGGCTCGATCTCCATCACGCATGTGGAAGACGTATGTCGAGCGCATGTTTTTCTGGCCGAACAAGAATCTGCATCGGGTCGATATATATGTTGTGCTGTCAATTCCAGTGTGCCGGAACTCGCTAAGTTCCTCCACAAAAGAAACCCGGAGTTCCAAGTCCCTACCGAGTAAGAACCAATATGCATGCACTGACAAAGTTTATTTCTTTTATGGGAGAAATGTTGTTAACATAGTTTGTTGCGTTGAAAACGACTGCAGTTTTGGAGATTGCCCCTCCAAAGCCAAGTTGATCATTTCCTCAGAGAAGCTTATCAATGAAGGGTTCAGCTTTAAGTTTGGGATTGAGGAAATCTTCGACCAAACCGTGGAATATTTGAAGGACAAGGGGCTGCTCAAGTGAAGAGTTCTGACGCGAATCTTCCCTAATGATTGTGGTGTTTGGTAGCTCAAGGTCTATGCTGTGTGTTTTCTGATGAATTGAGAATAACTTCGTGTTCCACAAATTAAGTTAAAATCGTATGACCAATGTCAACTATTTTTATCATGATTGTCACTACCGCTTCTCTATTATAGCTTTTTTCTAAACCTTTAGTTCACGGAGAAAAAATTATTATTAAGATGATAATTTTTTAAATTACATTTAAATTATTATGATGATTCTCCTAAACGATAATAAATTATTACCAATATCAACCTTTTCACTTAAATGTGGGAATATAATTCGTATAATTTTATTAAGTATTATACAATTACTAAATCTGATAGATTCATTTTAGACTAAAATACTCGTGAAATAATATCTTTTAACTTATATAACCATACTCTTATGAAACCAGGTACAGCACTACCAGATTCTTCATAAACTAATTTAGATTATTAAAAATGAAATCTCATTAATTATCAATTATTTTGTGAAAACAACATTGAGCAGTCTCTTATTCTCCGATCAGTTAATTTATTAAAGGACAAACATAACTTGAGGAAGACATGAATTTCATGTGGCTAAATTTCTTTCATTTAAAACGTTAATAGGCATTCTGAACTTTTAAATCTTGATATTAACTACTAAGAGACAAAAAATATTAAAATAAAACTGAATAATGAACGGATTGTGAAAGGTTGTGTAAATAATTTTGAAGTTGATCAAATATCATGAAGGTTGAATTTATTTTTAAATTGACTTAATATAAAAAAATGCCTAAATTATATTTTAAATTAACTTTTGGTGTTTAAATATTTTTTTGCTAAAAATATGTGCTTAAAGTTTTCTCCGTTACACTTTTAGGTATCTACCGTTAAGTGACACATGTCATGTCCAGATTTTAAAAAAATTTATTTTTAAAAAATTGACGTGATATGTGTCACTTAACGGTTTTTTAACAGTGTGCATCTATAAATGTAACGGATAAAACTTTATGCACCTATTTTTAGCGAAAAATTTTTTAGGCACTAAAATATTTTTCGAGACATTCTTTATACACTTATTTTTGCATCAAGCCTTTTAAATGTATACATCTAAAAATAACACATCTAGCTTAATATTATGTTGTCTCATGGCACCCGAACCACCACATAAGCTATAGGAAGTGTTACCAATCGTCTAGTAACATATCCATAAATAATTTTGAAGGTGGGTACATATGCATTAATAATAAAAGTTTTTTTTATATGGAATAATCATAAAAAAAATCAAATATCAAGGTGAGCACCATGTCTAAAATCAAGAACTAACACAAAGAGATTTAGATTTCAGAATATACACGTGCTCATCGTAACTTACACATATAAATATGTCATTTTGGTCAGTTATTGTATATTATAAACTAGGGAGGGTGTCTACATCTTGATCTAACCGTTACGATTTTATTTAGATGAATAATTAAAGTTTTTTTTAGATTTTTTTATTTAAATCCATACATGTTTATATAGTTTTAAAGGGTTTTAAAATTATATGTTATTTTAATAGGATTTCAAATTTTCGTATTTATTTTAACTCGAGTATACGATTTTTTTAAATAAAAAGGTGTCATTAAAAATCACTTATATCAACACAAAATTGAGGTCCTGTAAGAGAAAAATACTTCTCAAAATTCATTAATTACGGAAACGTATCGTTTTTTGCCTCGTGAATATGAAACTCAGTAGACTCTAAGCCGAAGAGAAAAGGAAACATTAGAGTGTAACGCTTTTGTAGTCAGGTTGTGATCTGCTATATTTGCAGCTCTACACATAAGATGTTATTTGTCTACTGTGATAGTGGACATCCTGGATCCTTTGATGGCTGGTTAACGCAGCCATTGGAGCCTCCATGTGCACTTTTTGTCCACCATCCGCAGTGGGAGAAGACTGATCGACCTCCTTATGTGCATCGTGTCCTGCATAAGTACTCCCGGAGATGATCGATTAATTGATTTTCAACCTAATTTCAGTTTATAATTTCTCTGGGATACTGCGTCTCATTTGGGTCAATTTCACCCCACGATTTTAGTGTTTGGGTGCAATTAAACCCCATTTAAATCTATTTTGTGCCAATTTCTGTCTACTTGTTACTCGTTTGAGCCTATTGTTGTTATTGAGGTTGCTCGTGTTTCTCTTTTGGGCAACTGGAGCCTGCCTGCTTAATAAAACCAATTTACTTCTTTTTTAAAAGAAATTATGATGTCTTTGATTTTATGCATAATAAAAAATCTTGGGCTGGGTCAACTTCTCTATCCCTTTTTTAAGTGGGATACAGAAACAACAGATCCAGCCCCCACTTCGGCTTCTTTTTCTCCACTCTCGGGTTCCATGGAAACGGGCGCCACCACTGATTTTGGTCAACAAGAATTATCCCATAAAAATGAAAAAGGGAAAGCCCTCGAAAAGCGTGCTGCATAGGAAAATACTATACATACGGTCTTATACACATTGTTGTCAAGCTCAAGTTTTACATATATGTTTTTCCAATGACTTTTGCAGTATACTTTTAAGGGACCGTTCGGTGGAATGTTACGTTAGGTTTTTTTTTTCTTTTCGGAATGTAATACCTATGTTTAGATTGCAACGGTTACCAGTAGGTAATAAATAATTTCTAACGATACGTTTAGTTCACGGAATATAAGATTACTAGTGTAAATAAAATATTACCAGATAATAGGATTACTGAGAATGTTGAATTTTGTGTTTGGTTGGTTTAGCAGGAATGTAAGATTACCGTGTTTGGTTAAAGGAATAAAATATTATTAGAATATATATTTGACCAAATTGTCTTTATTATATATTTGTATAATATTACAAATTGTAAAATATTTATATATTTTCTTTAAAAAATTAAATTCATAATATTTATATAATTTTTTTACAAATTAAAAATATAAAAAAGTTTAATGAAAGGGTAAAAAAAATTTTAACCCCTAAACTTCATATAAAATTTTAATTATAAACTTTTTTTTGTAAATCTAAAATAATTTAAGGATAAATTTGTAATTTAACATTCGTAGAATTTTTATTATTCAATGACAGAAAAATGATATTTTTGAAAAAAAAATAAAAATTTAAGGGCATTTTAGTCAAAACGCCGGTAGTGTTACAATACCTAAGGGAAGGAGGTAATGACATTCCCGGTAATATGCCTAAAAATCTACTATTGGTAATAAAACATTACCGGGAATGAGATTCCCGACCAACCAAACATGGGAATGTGGTATTCCCACAATCCTTGAACCAAACACCCCTAACATTAATATTTTGGACTTAATACCGAAAATATCATTCTCTCATTCTTTAGGTACTAATCTTTTCTTATGGCTTTCGATTAAAATGTACTTAAAATAAATTTTTTTTTAAATATCATTTTCTTAACATTAAATAAAAAAAATTTATGAAGGGTAAATTATAAATTTATCCTTAATCTATTTTAGATTTAAAAAAAGGTCCACAATTAAAATTTTATATGAAGTTCAGATGTTAAAATAAAATTAAACTCTTTCATTAAACTCATTTATCTTTTAAATTTTGTAAAAAAATCTATAAATTTTATAAAGAAAATATATAAATTAAAAATAATAAAATTATATATTTTTATGATCTTTTATACAAATATTTTTATTTGAATATTTAGAATTCAACTTGTTTTAAAAAATAAATATATAATAAGGACAATTTGATAAAATATACATTCTAATAATTTTTTATCCATTTAACCAAACCCTATAATATTGCATTATTGCTAAATAAATCAAACAAAAAATGCAACATTTCTAATATTGTATTAAATAATATTAAATTTGATAATCCTATTCCAGATAAATCTACCTTCTATAAATCAAACGCACAGAGGTGTACACATTGCAGCTATTAGTTTGACAGTCATCGGAGGAAGTTCTTAGCTCTTTCATGGTTTCAACTTCTTTTTATACCCAATCTCAATGCAACTACGTACAAACAACATATACCATCATATACCAAATTACCACTTTCAAAAAGATTTTAACTGTTTTTTAGCGCCACAATTAACGGAATTTGGATTGGTTGTTTGACATGGAATCTTATTTCCATATACACAAATGATAACGATGTGATCAAGAGATAAGACTAAAAAAATTTAAACTTTTTAAGACATCTTAAGATTTAAACATGAAAAAAAAGTAAATTGCATGCTTACTCACATAATTTTACTATTTTTTATATTTCACTCATTATACTTTTAATTTTTTTAATTTACTCACTAAACTTTATACATTGAATTTTTTTATCACAGTATTAATTTTTTATCAACTATGTGATGATGCAACATTTTTATTATTTTTTTTAAAAAAATTATTACTATTTTTTTATTATCTCGTACCTATTTTACCCATCATCTTCCCCACTCTCACTGTCATCATCTTCACCACTTAATATCTCTTCAGTCTCCATCATCTTCTCTTTTTTCTTTTAATACTTGCATCCTCCATTGCTTTCCTCATGCCGTCACAAAGGATCAAACTCCCTCATTCCGCTTTCATCCCCATCATTGACGTTTCTGCTTTTATCGTCGCTACTTTCATCATCTTCTTCTATTTCTGATGCAAGTAGAAAGGTGGGTCTGTCAACGATAAAATCTTTCGATAGTCGAGATAGTCCTGAAAAAAAAAACAGATATGGATCAAGAAGAGCATTTGCAGCAATTGTTTTTTTTTCATCCTGTTATAAAATCTCAAGCCTCCTCAAAATCCTCATTTTCAAATCCTCATTAATCAAAACATTATAAATAAAAAAAGGCCTCCCATCGATAATTTCTTCATGGTTTCAAAAGCAAAAGTATTTGCAAAGCACATTGATAACAGAACGAATTCCATATGAGGTTTTAGGAGTAAAAGAAAAAAGAAAACGAAGCAGAGAAAAATGATGGGAGGAAGCTAAAGAGAAACGGTGTTGGAGTTTGGATTTGAAAAAATGAAAGGTTTTGGATCAAGGGTATCTTACTTTTTAATTATTTTCTTTTTTTAATTATTTTATTTTTATTTGTATTTCAATGATTAAAAAATGTTTATTTAATTCACGTCTAACGCAATTAAAAAATTAAGGTAAAGC